TTTATCTGCCACACTGGGTGTGGGACCAGCCTGTTCTGTGTCTCCACCCCTCCTACCAGTCTTGATGTAGCTGCTTCTTTAATTCCCTAGTTGTAGGACTTTCATTCAGTCAGATTTCAGGCGGTTCTGAATGATGGTTGTTCTGTAGTTTAGTTGTAATTTTGATGTGGTTGTGGGAGGACTCCAGTACTGTTTTTACCTTTGCTGCCATCTTGACTGGAGGTCCAGTCATCTTTATTAGCCTATNTCCAGTACTGCTTTTACCTTTGCTGCCATCTTGACTGGAGGTCCAGTCATCTTTATTAGCCTATTGATTAAATAGGTACCACAATATTAATGATTGATTTACTATATTAAACTATTTTAATTAGCAGTAATTTATAGCAACACTTATTTTCCTTCCATTGTTATTATTATTATCACAATTAAAAAGCTTTAGTAAGTTCATGGTGAATAATGTGGTTCTAAATATAACGCACAGTGTTACACCACCATAGCATCTTTTTCTTTGGTAATTAGTGTCTACGGTTGTTAAACTAAGAATGAAATATGAAGTATATGTAGCAGTAGCATATCACAATACAGTCCAAGCATAAACCAAGCATAAGCACATTTTTAGGGAGAGAAGAAATAGGTGTTTCACATCAGTTGAAAAGAAAGAAGCTGTTTTCTTCAAATAGAATAGGAAGATTTGGTCAAGAAGATAAATACCAACAACATTTACATATTTTTAAACTAAATGGCTTAAACTTTTAAACTGAAATAACTACCTATTTACAGTTTTAAAAGCTCATTATTTACATTATCTTGTTAGAGCTTTGCTTTGTCCCTGTGATATAGAGGGGTTGGTGTCCATACATTATAGACAAAGAAACTGAGTCAGGGAGAGTAAATAGCTTTTGGAAAGAGGGTGTTCTGACTTAAAAATTCCTTTTTGAAAAAATGTTAAGGGCAAATTGTGAAATGTCTACATTATTAAAACTATATCAGTCTTAAACATTATATTTTGTTAGGGAAAAATATATCTTATAAAATTTCTTTTTGCCCCAGGCAGCAAAAAGGCTTCTAATGATGGGGACCTAATAGAAACTAAATTGTTACTGTTGACTTGGCACCTATTGTGGGCCAAGTTCTATACTAGGTATTTTATATATTGATATTTTATTTTATCCTAACAACAATTGAATAAGAAAGTTATTATAATCCTATTTCACAGACAATAAAATTAGGTCAAAGCAATGTTAGCAACTTGTTCAAATCACATGCACAGCTGGGATTGGAAACAAATTCTGAGTTTCCTCAAAGCTGGGCTCACTTTATTATTCCATGCTGTAAATATTATTTCCATGTTAATTCAAATTTTTATTTGTCTGATAGCTTTATTTAATTTCCTCTATGCTCAGATCATGTATGTTTATGCTAACTAGCAGTATACTTTATGCACTCAAGATTATTTGATTTACATTTGAGAGTCATTCTCTAATTACTTCAATGCACAATTAGAGATAAACATTTTTTCAGAGATGTCATTTGTGGAAATGCCATATGGAAATAGTTCTGCTGTGATTTCTCCAGCTGTCTAGTCAGGATATGACTAATCAGAATCAATATTAGGTGGGAAAACCCATGATCTTTACACAGCAATGTTTTCAGGACACTTACCCAGGTCAGTGACTGTTTTATCTGAGGCATTACTGCTGTGTTTGAAATAATTATAAAAGGAATCAAGACAATGTCAAAGACAGAGTATAGAATAATCATTTGGGTAAGTTTGGCTTTACATTCTTCTTTGTGCTAAACCCCAGAGACACTCTCATAGGCTTGTTATAACTAGAGTGAAGGCAGCTTTCTCAGCATTTGGTACCTCAAAAAGAGAGAACTTTCTATTGCATTATTTAACTCTGTTTCATTTATATGAAATAGGAATGATGAAGCATTTCTCCTTTCTTNTATAACTAGAGTGAAGGCAGCTTTCTCAGCATCTGGTACCTCAAAAAGAGAGAACTTTCTATTGCATTATTTACCTCTGTTTCATTTATATGAAATAGGAATGATGAAGCATTTCTCCTTTCTTTATAAAGTAAAACTTTGTTTCTCTCTATAAAATTGATTTCATGTTCACTGTAGAAAATTTAGAAAATACATATAAGCAAGAGAGAGAGAGCGAGCAGCCCTAGTCTCAATATAATATTTTAGTGTCCATCTTTTAAGCAATTGCCTTTTGGTCTTTCTGTTTCTCCCCCCCTAAATTACCCGAGTATATATATGATTGAGTCTATTTTCTAAGCTTCAGTAATAATTTTTTTCCTGAATATTTTGAATTCTGTTTTTATTTTGTTTCTTTCTTAGACATCTACTGTAATCTGTTGTAGAGAGCAGGAGAGCAGAAAACTTGAAATATTTACATTTCATGATGAATCCAAATCTCATTTTATTATGCAAAAGACAGTACATTCTGTGTCTGCCCTACAAGTCTTTGTATTTCACACATTAAAATGTGAGCTTTAGAATACAGCTTTTACTTCATCTAATTAATATATTTTTAAAATATTTTCAATTACAGTTGACATTCAATTTTATATTAGTTTCGGGTGTACAGCATACTGGTTAAACATTTATATAACTTATGAAATGATCCCCCAATAGGTCTAGTACTCATCTGACACTATACATAGTTACTACAATATTATTGACTAAATTTCCTGTGCTGTACTTTACATCCCCTTGACTATTTTGTAACTGCCAACTTGCACTTCTTAATCCCTTCACCTTTTTCACTCAGCCCTGTAACCCACTTCATCTGATTTGAAGATGGAAAAGAGACAGTCGTTTGTTATTGAGACTTCTAGGTCACCCATCTTCCAATGTCACCATTTTTTACACTTCCAAATGAGATTCCAAATTTTCCTTTCTGTCATTCCATAAATTCACAGTTCCTATGTTCCCTTCCCTTCCCTTCCCTTCCCTTCCCTTCCCTTCCCTTCCCTTCCCTTCCCTTCCCTTCCCTCTTTTTTTATTTTAAGACAACTTGTTTTCCTTCGACTTTGGCCAAAGCAAAAGGTTGGCCTTGGGTGTGAGGAGTAAGGTGGTGACACCTTTCTAAGAAAGTAAAAGGAAATATGCTCAAAGATGGGAAATGAACTGAAATGGGAAGTTTAGATTAGATAATACCAAGAATTTGTACTCAGTATGGTTGGTAGGTCTCTAAACTGATTAGTGTGGGACAATACTCTTAACTCTGGAATCACTTGAAGAGCTTTAAAAAGCACCAATGCTTAGCTCCTTCTTTTAAAGATTTGAATGTAATTGGATGGCCTAGGCATTGGAATTTTTTAAAGTTCCCCAGGTGATTCCACTGCAGTCAGGTTTGAGAACTATTATTTTAGAAGATGCTATATAGATTCACCTGTGTGATAAACATAGGAGCACTTCCTGCCTGAAGACCAATAACAATAAACATACCTGAGGCTCCCTCAGTACAGGGCCACCATATGTAGATATGGGGTTATGCCTTGCACAAAGGAGCCTGGCAGAGGCGATAAATAGGGGATGGAATACAGCCCACCCTTTGCTCATGAGCCAGCTGCACTCTGACTCTGGGCTATATCTCCTGGCACCTTTTCTTACTTGTACAAAGACACTGCACAGCCTCGTCTGACACCGCATCTGTGTTTATGTCCTTTCACACTACGTGGAGACACATTGCCTTTCCATTGAACTATTTCTGACTTTAACTTTCTCACTAATTCCAAACCACTAGGTTCTTCAAAATTAACATTTTCCATTTTTGTCTTGAAACGAGCGCATTATATGTGGCAGAAACAACATGGGAAAATCTGCAAATTCCAGTCCATTGACGTTTCTGTAATAAATTAGTCTTTAGCCATCTGGAATTAGATTATTTTGGAGACTATGAATTAGCAATAAAAGTGAGAAACCTTAAGAAAGACCAACTTTATAATGGTGCTATCTCAGGGCTAACTAGTTAGCTCCCACGTTTAGAACACCATGATAATAAGCCAGGTTTATCATTTCAAACCCATAGTTAACAGCACAGGGAGAAACTCTATTCCTTTGTCACAGACTGAACACTGTTGCCAACCAGTTTATTCTTTAGTATAAGTTAAAACAAAGCCAGTATACTTTATACTTATCACCATTACTAGAAAAACAAGTGTATGACCAGATGGGTGTACATTTAGCAAATGTCAGCTTTATTATAACTAGAGAGATAATCACTACTAACCAGTAGAAAGTACATCCAGATGTATTTGCATTATGTGATGGGGACCATAGTCAATATGATATAAAACCTATAATTATGTGGTTTTCTCAAGAACTTCAACAAGATGCTAAAGTTTTGCTAAGAAAGCAAAAGAACAACTCTGATGCCACCAACCTGACTCATCTGATTTGCAGTCTGCATGTTAAAGGGGTTAAATTTCACCTTCAGTGTGAATACATTAGCATGAAAAGCCCAGTCTAGCAACATGTGAATTCCCAACCATGTGTTTCTGTGAGAAATAAATCACTTGATGGGAAACACTAGTACAGGCTGTTTCTGTTAATTACACATGGATTTATAACTAGAATGGGAAGAGCAGGGTTTTATTTTAAACCAGATTTGAACGCTACACTGCGCATATATGGAAAACTAGAAAACTTTAAATTGTCACTGACCTTATCTTCACTGAAAGGGGGTAAGTGTCCCAGGATCAGTCCTACCCCCTCTTAGAATCATTGCTACTTAGAAAAAGCAATTTTTATGTAGTTAATATTAGCACAAATCCTTTGCTGCCTGCCTGCTTCCTAGCAACCTGAAGCAGAGTATCTGCTTGCCAATCTGCTTTCGGTAAAAATTAAGAACAGAAGACCCAGCGAATTTGCCAATCACCCGGAAAAGGTGGGGGATGTATTCAGCAAGCTCCGTGCTGATTTCGTGAGCCTAGCCTGTGATTTATGTTGCCAACCATCTGACTCTGCTGCACTTTCTATCACAGGCCAGGGAAGATGTGATCCACATGCTGAAGACGGAGAAAACCAAGCCCGAGGTCCTAGAGGCTCACTACGGGTCTGCGGAGCCGGAGAAAGTGCTGCGGGTCCTGCACCGGGACGCCATCCTAGCCCAGGAGAAGTCCATAGGAGAGGATGTCTATGAGAAACCAATTTCAGAGGTAAAGACATGACACCAGCGCTCCCCTCCGAAGGGAACCTCAGAGTGACTGCTTCACATCCTTGCATTTTACATGCTTTAACATTTTTTTTCAAAGGCAACATTTTTATGATACACTAACATAGAATTAAGCTGTAATTAAATAGCTCATGAATTATTGTGGATACATTTCAATGATAAGAATTTTAGAAGCATTTCCTTGAGTATACTTAAAGCCTGGGATATATTTCTCATGTGATTATGATAGTTACATGCTCTTGCAGTCTGTTATCTTGCATTTCTCTAAGAGTTTATGTGTGTAAAATTTGAAGGGCTTATCGGTTTCAGCACTGAGCTGTCAGGATTATTATCAAATTGGTAACCTAAAATCAAATTGATCTTATTATTGATACTTATGGTGACAAAGCCACTGTACTTTGTTATCTTGCATCTTAGTAATTCTATAATAATTAAAATGATCTCATGTGAGTAGCTAAAATACAGTGGTGAAGGCAAAATCCCAATGAAATGCCCAAGGCAATTCTTTAAGATGAAATGAGATCTAATAGGGACTATTGACTCAGTAATCACAATTTGTTGAGTAATTATAATTTATTGAGTAATAACAACTTTTTGGGTAATTAATAAATTGTTATTAATAACAATTGCTACATGTTAAAAATACTACATGCTACATGTTAAAAATACTCTCACATTGTAGTAAAAGTTTGGTGCTGAATTAGGGAACCAGTTGATGGATCTAGCCATATTGACTCTTCAGGATTCATGTAAAAAATCCATATATGTGAAATTAGTATCATAAGTGAAAAAGAATACAGAAATTTAAAGCCTGAAGCAGTTTATTATAATCTAACTTTTAACTTAGTCAAGTCTTTGCATAGCTCAGTTTGACAGATCTCAGACAAGATCTGCTTTAGACAGTATTCACAACAGATTGATGGTCTTATAATTTTCTATTTTCTGCAACAAGGATAAACTGAAGCTCTGTTCTCATCTTTTCCTAAAATGCTAAGAGATGATTACATGATAGGATGCAGTCAACAGGCTGGCTCCACTTTCATTTTTGAGATCCATGGTTGCTGGCTGTGTGTGGCCTTGGTCATGTCATTTCAACTCTTTAAGCCTCAATTTCCTGATCTGTCAGGTGGGAGAAACAACAGTGTGCCTATAATAGAATTGTGAGGATTAAATGAAGCAATGCCTGTAAAGCTCTTCACATCATGTCTGATACATGCCAGGTACTCAACAAATATAAGCATTGGTATTTACTTGGATTTGAAGGTGGTAATTGCTCACACCCTTGGAGGGATTTGAGGAGTAAAAGACATATAGAGGTCAAAACATCAGTTTTATGTTATTATTATAATCACCTGAATTGGAGAACTCAGCTCAGATAAATGGTATCATTTGAACTTCCTAATTCTTTTCTCCCAAATTAGAGCTTGGAATGAATGACCCTCAAAGGAGAGGTAGGTCTGCAGAGTACACACATTTACCCAGAACCACTCCCTCCAGTGCGCTGAGTTTTACAGACAGTACACAAAGAGAGGAGTTTCTAACCTATCATCAGAAGGTAGACCTCACACAAATGCTCCTGCCTTGTGGACAGAAGAGCAGAACAGAAAACACCCACCTTGTGGGTTGTCTTTTTGGGACTAGCTAAGCTGGGCATAACTCTTGGTTCCTTTGTCTCCTCAACTCAACAAGCTGAAGAGTTGTTCTTCCCTTGGGGAGGAGTGTCCTAGAGAAAAGGACAGGAGCTTCTTTTCCCAATACTGACAAAATGGTGAAGTCTTGTTTTGTGAGAGAAATAGAATGCTAGAAGGGGAAAAGATTTATCTCTCACCATCTACAGATTTTTGGTCTCCAAAACTTTTGGGTTTAACAATCAAGTCCATATTACCCAGGGGCAACTTCATGAGGCAAAAATCCCTGTTCCATTAGCCTCCTGGGACCATGAACAGGTAGTCTAGCTCTTAAGTGTTCCTAGAAGCCATACTACACCTCAAGCCAAAAAATTGCTGCTCACTCAAATATCCATACTAAATTAGGCCCAGCTCGGCTACTCAATAGATCTTACTGGTTATGTCACCAGTGCTGGGGGACAAGCTGAGCTAGTGTAGGTGGGGAGAAGATTGCCCACAGAAACCCCAGCAACTACTCCAGTGCCCTAGCCCCAGGACTGTAGCTGCTTCAGAGACCCGCATGGATAGAACGTATTAAAGCTAAGGCCCACCTCCTGTCCAGGCTGCCCCAGAACACTTAATATCAATATGTGCTGTTTTTTCTCCAGATGCCCTTAATATGTCTGTCTATCTGGATATTTCATTCAACTATCAAATTAATAAAGCTCCCACCTCCTCCTCCAGAGTTCCTACAAAAGTCTGGCAGATGACTTCAAGTATTTAGCTTTGTGATTGGTATAAGTAAATAAATGACCTCACCAGGCTTTCTATACTTTCCCTCCTAGACTTTGGAGAAACTACTTGAGAGAGAGTTTGGGTCTATAGAACATCATGCAGCATCTTGTGGCAGCCAGAGTAAAAAACAAGAAATGAAAAGGTTGAGCTGCTCATTTTCAGTTCCCTATTCCAAATACAACCTTCAAACTCTCTTTCCTTAGTGAGGAATGGGGGAGGGTGTGAAGAACTAGGCAGAAGCTGCTCTTTCAAAAGCATGGAGAGTCCTACATGATCATAAGGGTACAAAGGGGACAGAGTCGCTCCTTCCACATTTCTGATGAGGAGGAGGAAAATGTTTCAGCAATGCTTGACAAATTCTAGAAAATATGGTGAAAATCACATTTGTAGAAGAATGAGAGAGTTCTAGGGGGAGAACAGGTTGTAATATGAAGCTATGAGAAAATCTCTTCTATAGACTGTCCCTTTAAGGTGACAGAAATTTACCAGAACCCACAAAGGTACAATTTGCCAATCCCTGTTGATCTCAGATATTGTCAGTCACCATTTAACCTGGGCTTCTTCACCAGCCTGTCTGGCCACTTGCCTTTAGGAGATCTAGGCAGAAGGCACTGAGTATTATGGGGGCAGTATCTCTTTTACTTTGGGCCCCAGAAATGGTCCATTCACAATAAAAAATACGCATTCGAAGAGGGAACCTTGGATCCTTCTTATGACTGAAAGGCAAACATGGAAAACCCAGCAGGAACAGCTCTGATGCTGATGCCCTGTGGAGCTACACCCTTGGGTTTTAAGGAGTCGGTTGTGGGATTGAGAATGAATTTTAAATATGTGTGCTTCAACATATTTAGAGCAGTGGTTCTCCACTGGGGGAGGGTCAGCAATTTTCCCCAGTAGGGTACATTTGCCAATGTCTGGGAATAGCTTTGTCACAACTGGTGGTGACACCACTGACCTCTTGGGGGCAGAGGCCAGGAATGCTGCTAAATATTCTCCAATGCACAGGATAACCTCTCAAAATAAAGAATTATTTGGCCTAAAGTGTCAGTATTGCTGAGGTTGAGAAACCCTGTAATAGAGTTTGAAGAGGAGAGTAGGATAGGGAACTATCAATATTGTAAGATTTGATCCAATTTCACAAACATTTCCTGAACACTTACTTTGTTCCAGGCACTGTGCTGGGATCTAGGAACTAAAAAGATGGTTAAGGCATGACCCCTTAAGATCTTATAGCCTGGCCAGAGAAATAGGCACAAAGCCCTGTAATAATATTTGGTAAGGCCTCTTTTAGTCTGAGATATGTGCTTTCTACAAGTTCTAAAATCCTCCCTATATTTATCATCTCTTGAAAAAAGACGATGGCAGGTCCTTTGTATCCTTCTAGAAATGCAAACCTTAAAAAAGATTGTGATGACGATCATCACCTCCCAGGGGAGAAGTTTGGCACATGTACCTGCTGAGCTCTTATTTTCTCTGCGATCAGCAGAGATGTCACCCTCTTTCTTTCTGATTAGAGGGTTTGTGCCATCTCATGAAAACAGTGAAAGTGTTTGTCCTCCTGAAAGTTTAGGAGCCATACATATGTTCACAGTAAAAGGGCCAGAAGGCCAGAAGTTCCTGCAGCCTTATTATTGACTAGTTTATAAAGCCGAGTGGCCTAGAGAAAATGATGGAATGGGGGAAACGGCAGGGAATACCAGACTCTATGTTCCGCCCGTCAGGTAATAAGGTACTAGGCCAATGTAAACAAATTATTTAGAGTCAAATACAAATAAAGTAACATAGTAAGTTCTTTCCCATGTTTGCTGACGCAGCTGGACAGACTTGAGGAAAAACAGAAGGAGACCTACCGGCGCATGCTAGAGCAACTGCTGCTGGCCGAGAAGTGCCACAGGCGCACGGTGTACGAGCTGGAGAGCGAGAAGCACAAACACACCGACTACATGAACAAGAGCGACGACTTCACCAACCTGCTGGAGCAGGAGCGGGAGAGGTAATGTGCAGGCCGCCAGGCACAGCAGGGGGCCGGCAGCCCTCAGCTCCGTCCCTCCTGCCAGGGACCAGGCTGTTCCAGAGACACCGAGACAGGTGCCCGGCCTAATTCCATTTCTGAATGGTTTCTCACCGTAGACAGTGAGACAGACTTTTACCTGGAACTCGCATGTGAATCTGCGGGAGGGTGCATGTGAGCAGGATTCCACGTCCCCACTAGGTTGTTGAAAGCCATACACTGTAAAGCTGGAAGCCAACCCAGGAAGATTGTATTTGAACTTGATCAATGAACCACTTCCATTTGAAAATCCTCTCTACTAATTGCGTTCTATTTGAAATAACCTACTTGATCTCTTTGGGATTGAAATCCACTTAATCAGGAAGGGAACATTTTAAACTTAACAAATGAATCCTATCTTAATACCAGTATAGAAAATCTTAATATTTGGTTATGTATAGATTACTTAATGAGTAGAACTACCTGCTTAACCTTCTAAGGGTTGAAAACTCTTAAAACAATGTGAAACAAAACAAAACAAACCCCTCAGTGTGATGAGCCTTGCTTATCTATCCTCGTAGGTGGTTTTCCTCAGCCAGGATTGACACATTTGAAGCCGACTCCAAATTGCCAAGCTCTATGCTACCCCGGGTTTTTTTAGCATCTTCTTTTTAGCTTATTCTCTTTTCTTTCCCATACTTAAGTATATGAATTTGAGAGCCCTTGAAACCAGTGACGTGAATCCTGATGCTTCTGAGTGACCAAGCGTGTCTGCTCTGTGTATAGGACTTACAAATTCAGAGCCACTCAGGAACAGCTTCACCAGCCCCAGCTTCATTATCTACTTACTATCTACCAAAAAGGGACCTGGTTTTCCCAGATTGGTTTACTTACCAGGAAAAGCTATCATCATAAGAGAGAAAATGAAAACATGAAGCAGCAGAGATTAAATATTTAAAAAATTATTGGTGACGTTTACTTATTATTGGACTTGGCACATCCCTTAGGGAGGCAAAAATGGAAAAGAGAACAATGGCTGTACAATAGCCTCAGGTGATAGTTTCTTTGAGCCTGTCTCCGTACACTCAGGTGTATTAGTTTCATGTTTGAATAAATAGATGGTCTACTTTGACATTTTCAGTAACAAAACAGTGAGAATAAACTCCAGCTCCTCAAATTCTGTGAACTTTCCAATGTAAAGCACAGATATTGCAAACAAAGTTCTAAGGGCAGCATAAATTATGTATACCTACAACAGACCCCCAGTTACATGTCCCGTGCAAGAAAGCAGTCAGGTAAAAGAGTAGCAACTTGTCTGATAGTGACTTTTTTTTTTAAAAGCTCTGAAATCAAATAATTTTAAAGAACACCTGTGTGAATTAAATATTTTCTGACCACTTTGTAAATTATTTCATTCAGAACCAGATATATCTGTCTTTCCTACGATGTCACCCCCAAGTTCAATGCCTGAAGTAGCACCAGTTCACTTACAGAGTTGGTTTCAATGAAGTGTGTCGATGGCAAGACGGTACTTATCCAGGCTGTTTCTTTTTCTTCCTTTTTTGTTTTCCTAACTTTTGTGTTCTGTGCGAGTAACTGAAATGATAACACAGGATGGAGAGTGTTGTAGTTCAAACAGTACTTTTACATCAGTTATACAGTGAGTCTGTCCCAGATGTGTTTATTTCCTAACTTCATGTTGATCAACTAACTCTAGAGGAACAATTCCAATCCCTTTTTTGGAGTTAATTCTACTAAGACAACTACAACAACCGTATAGTCTGAGCAAAGTGCTATGCAGAAGGTTTTTTTAAATCAAAGTAAAAATTTAAAAAATTATCTTAAGATGCCTTTCATACTTTGATCAGCACAACTAGGATATGTCACCAAATTTTCATGTTTTAGATAAGAATCCACTAAAGACCTTTGCCTCTCACTTAAATGTCAAACCACTTTAAGGTTTTGAAATAGTATTTTTTGACTCAACAGGTTATACTTTAGTGTTGTATATTTTTTACTGTCAATGTTTTTTTCCGGATCAGTTGACTGCACCACTGTGTATGTCACTATGGGCACACCCTGACACACTTGTTTTGTTAAATTAAACACCCACTAGGACTCTGGTAACTTAAGTTGGTATCTCTGAATTTCTCTGAGAGCTGAGGCGTCCACCATGACTGGCCTGCTGCGTTCCAGGGCACGGGGGCCTGCGGGATTCTTGCAGAGGTCAGGCTTGGGGCTCTTGCTGCCCTTTGGAAGCTGCCCTGCTAAATCTGCTTTGAGTTAAACCCTCCTTTTGAAGTAAGCGGCCATAATTAGATCTACTTATGGGGGCTGGCAGTTTGCTGACCCCAAGGCTTGCTTTCCCGTGAGCCACGCCGCAGGGGAGCTCTTCCCACCAGGACCTTGGACCCGCGGCCTGGCCCCTCGTTCCTGGGGCTCAGACAGGCCCAGGCGCTCCGGCAGCCTCTGCTCGGGGCCAGGTGGCCGCGGCCGCAGCACCTGCCGGGGAAGCGGAGCTGCGGCTCATGAAGAAACGGCATTTCCCAGCACTAGCTGGAGTCCCTGCCCAGGCTGGTCCAAGTCCTTTGTTGGCTTCGTTGTTTTGCATTCCCTTTCCCTTCTCCGGAAAAGGCCAGAGTGTGTGTGTGTGTGTGTGTGTGTGTGTGTGTGTGTGTGAGAGCGAGGGGGGGGTGGAGGTGGAGGGGAGAGAGGAGAGAGAGGAGAGAGACAGCCAGGGCCAGAGCCAAGAACTTTCCTTCGGAAACATTTACCTTTGTTTCTTCTGTGAGCATGAGTGAAGGAAGGAAGTGAGACTGGAGATAAGCCCAAGTGGTTCCCTTCTTAAACCCAGCCCGCTTCCCCGCTGGGTGAGACTGTGTGGCTCTGCAGGCTGTCTCCACCCCAGGCAGCTTTTCATCTGCTGCTGGTGGGATGATGCGGGGAGGGGTGCAGAGCCAGAGGGCCCTGCAGAAGGTAGCATCTAGGCACCATTCTCTGTAACTATCCTGCTCTGTAAGGGGCTCTCACTTCCAGAAAAATGGTTAAAGGTGACAAAAAGGGACCAGGCATACAGGAGCAGTAGCAGGTGTTGATAAGCAATCCAGATATTTGATGAAACCAGGAATCTGAGGCTCTGAGCTTTGCAAAGGAATTCGGAGATCAGCCCTTTCAAGTCCCTCATTCTACAAGGGGAGAAATTGAGGCCCAGAAAAATTATGTAGCTCAATTAAGAGTGTAAAGTAGGGCACTGGTCTAGCACTTTTATGCAAATGAATCCTTTGTGCAAAATGGCTTGTTTTATGTTTTCTTTGTGTGGGGGGGCTCCCCACCTCCATGCTCTTATGTCCAAACTATGACATAACACCTTTAAAAGGCAGAATGGTGGATATTGTGAGGATATAAACACAGCGGTATTAGGACCAGTGGTGTCTCTAGACTGTCCAGAGAAGCTTTGAGATAGCATCTCTTGGAGAAGCAGCCTGGGGACTTGTTTTGGAGCCAAGTTTAACTAGGATACATAATGTTCTACTTCAGTTGCATTCTTTTTGGGGTAGTTTTGATACAAGGCTAGTGGTGGTTATGGGAAGGATACATAAAGCCCCCCTCCAAGCTTCCTCCTTATTATGGCCATTGACCTGGACCATGCAAGTATAAACACTATTGAAGCAGAAATTATTTTTCACTTTTCAGGAGTTGTTTAATTCATTTTGTATAAAAATCCCACAAATTAAGTGCCTAAAATGGATAACATATTTTTCTGGGCTTCCTTTATTCTAAGTCAACAGACTGTGATCATAATTTATTACCATCATTTGCTGCATATTTATTTTTACAAATAGTCATATTTTCAAATTAAAAAGAGGAAACTGCATGAAAAAATGCAATGGCTTAACTGGCATTATTTCTAATAAAGATGAAAATACCTTTTATTGCATTAATTAAGACTGGGTAAAGGAAAGTTCTTTTTCTAAATGCTATATTCTGTTTAATCCATATTTTAAGCCAACTTGATCTTTAAAGGCATAATTCTGGGCACATGAGATTACCTTTAGAGTTTATACTTTATTCCTTGTCTGAACTGCAAGACTTGTGATTTTATTTATTTATTTATTTTTAAAATTTTTTAAAAATATATTTTTATTGATTTCAGAGAGAGAGGAAGGGAGAGGGAGAGATAGAAACATCAATGATGAGAGTCATTGATCGGCTGCCTCCTGCATGCCCCCTGTTGGGGATGGAGCCCGAAACCCAGGCATGTGCCCTGACTGGGAATTGAACCGGGATCTCCTGGATCATAGGTTGATGCTCAACTGCTGAGCCACGCCGGCTGGGCAAGACTTGTGATTTTAATCTTAAACCTCACTAGGACTGCTTCAAGAATGTGTAGAGAGAGCACAGATACATTTAAAAAATGATCTTGAACTTAATTATTTGAAGGGAGTGTGTGTGTGCATGTGTAAATGATATTGGGGAGTGCTGTCTAAATTTATAACTGTAGATACACATTTTAAAGATTTTGGATTCTATAAGCTCAGCTGGGACTGCATAAATAATTACATCATCATAAAACTTGCAGCAAGCCTTCCAAGTATAAGTTTTTGTGTGTGTGTGTTTTTAAGTACAAATCATCATCTCAAGAGAAATTTCTGAACTTGTAAAGCAGAGAATGCAGGAGCAGGAGCTTGAATGGAGGGGAAGCTTTCAAGCCCCATTTTGGTATTGTTTAGATCCACGTGCAGGGCATTGGGCATCTGCTTGGTGGCCCGGTGGCCCATGGGACAGGCTGCACTGCTACACTTGCTTGTATAGGGGAGTGATTGGTGAGCAGAGCATGAGTTTGAAAACTGGCTCTAGTGGCCTGGGATTTTGGGAAACATTCTTGGCTCACTTTATAGAAAAAGATTCACATCTGGTTCCTGGGCATAATTTCCTGAAGTTTCTTGGATTTAGATGCTTTATCTCTAAAATATGGCAATGAAATTGACTTTTCTCACTGGTAG